CCCCCAGCCAGGGTCAACCCACCACAATGCACAAGGCGATATATATGTTATTTGCAAATCCCCAAAAGGAGCTTACCAAGAGGTAGGTAATTACTTTGTGTGAAGTAGTTGTAAGTGAAGGAACAAGGAGAAATCTTCTAAGGTTCAGGTGTAGGTTTTATTCCTCAAAAGACAGCCTCTCTTCAGAATTCTCTCCTCCTGTATACATGAGTGCAATCTATCCTGCTAAGATCCAAGAAAACAATGAAAATTACTTGAGTGATGTGAGTAGAAAGGATGTAGGAATCTGATGCTATTTTTCTGCATGTCTAAACTCTCTGTCATAGCCACCATACAGAGTTAACTGACTAGGAAGGGCATCATTCTGCTGCTTTCTTAGATCATGTTGGCAGGAACATAAAGGGCATCTGCTTTTTCTCAAATAATAGCTTGTTTAAAAAAAGACTTTTTTTTTTTTTTCATTAGGATCAGGTGGGCATTTTATTCCTATCGCTATTCTTCATTTGTTTATTGTGGCATGCTCAAAATTGCTAACAACCTTGTCTGAAAAAAAAATATTTCTTTAGCAAATCAAAAGAAGACTGTGTGCATATCCCGTGAACAGTGTGCAAAATGGTGCAAGAAATTAGATTACATCCTCTAACCCAGCCTGCTGTTCTGTTTCAGACATTGTTGAACGAGCTAGATCGAAGCATGGGGCGATACCGAGATGAAGTAAATCTCAAAACAGCCATCATGTCCTTTATCAATGCTGTTCTGAATGCTGGTGCTGGTGAGGTGAGTCACTGCCCTGGAAATTCCTTCTAAAAGTTATTCTTGAATTAATTTACCTTAGAAATGGCTAGTAGATTAAGTCACAAATCTTGTGTTATTGCATGGATATAGTATGTGGAAAATAATGCTTAATTGTTAATATCAGTCTTAGAATGTCTTCCATATTATTTCATTCCCAGCCTCTTCTAATATAACATCGACTACTTGCACTGAAATGATTGCTTTGGATTTTTTTAGTTTGTTGTTTGGGGTTTTTTTAAAAGAACTGCAAAGCATTTACATCTTGATTTCAGCTTTTTAGAAAACATTTTGGTTTACCTTCAGAAATGTTTTGAAATATTAATTTGTTTTGATTCAAAGACAAAGTCAAAATATTTTGATTTAAAAATGTCAAAGGGAGACATTTCAGAGGCAGTTTGTTGTTTTTATTTCATTAACAAGACTTTCTTTTGAGTCTAGAGGATATTGTAAAGTGATTTTGTTTCATGAAAAGTGTTAGTTTTGTTAGGTTGTCTTTTTTTGGTGGGGTTTTTTGTGGTTTTGGGGTTTTTTTTTGGGTTTTTTTTGTTAAATCGCAACAGACAACAAGCTTCTAAGAGCTCTGTCTGGCAATGTATTTGTCTATCTGCAGCAGTCCTGTAACATCTCACTGAATAGGTGTCAAGTTTGCCAGAGTATATGGTGATTTTATGACAAATAAACATAAAAACTAGGAGGAAGACTGCAGTGCTGTTCATCTGTAGCAGGAGGCAGACCGCTAATGGTCTAGCAGGACAGACACCAATAACTTTACGTTCTTTATGTAACAACGTGGAGTGTGCTGTGCTTCTGACTGGACATGCAGAACTCATTGTAGGTAGATGAGGACTGTATTTTTGAGTGAAACACAGGCAAAGGCATTATTTTAATTTTTTTTTTACTTACTTTACTGGAATTAATTATCCTGTGAATTTGGTGTCAGGACAGAGGATATTAAAAAGGGAAGAACCGAGGTTTTAAGCAATTTTTTTTTCAATGTGATTAGAAGCTTTTGGAACCCAATAACTTGGTTTTCCCACACTTTTTAAGGACAATTTGGAGTTCCGATTACACCTACGATATGAATTTCTAATGCTGGGAATTCAGCCCGTCATTGACAAGCTAAGAGGACATGAGAATGCCACACTGGACCGGTAAGACATGTTTTCTGAGACCAGTTATTGATCAACAGAAAGAGTTCTTAGAAACTCTTCTCCATTTGGGTTTCAGATTTGAGCACAAAGCCATCTCTCTCTCTCCCTAAAACTGACTCCCTTTAAAGACAAAAAGGAGATTTGTCCTTAAAATTAAAATCAGCAGATGAAGTAGGAGACATACATACTAAATTGGCAGTGGCTGTGGCAAGGAGTTCCTGAATTGCTTTTCTTCTAAGCTGGAGACAGCAATCAGAATGAAAAAAATACAATAATTTAAAAAAATCTAATTCTTTTCTCTTGTAGCAAAACTGGAACAAAAGCCTGCCATGGTAGGCAGGAGGGAAGCTAGTACTTCATTGAGACTGAGTATGTGTGGTCAAAGCGCAGGTTCTGAGTTTCCGAGGTTTTTCTTTAGGCTCAGTGATCTAGCTTGTTCCATGCCCTCCCAAACTGTGGCACTGGCACAACTATGAGAGAAGAGGCACCTGTGGTAGATGAAGAGGTAGAGATGCCAAAGGGGCAAGAGAGCAGAATGAGGAGCATCTACCTTGTGCTACTGCACAATATGTAACATTGAATGGGACCTTCAAATTACTGTGTTAAAAGTAATATGGATAATACATGCTTTCTCCACTAGCAATTCCTTATTTTGCCACAGTAATTGAAGCTGCTAATGACCTTAAATTTAAACGCTTCACCAAGCCACATGCTGAAATAAACTTGGAGTAAACAATCTGAACAATTTGACTGAGATGCTTCAAGAAGCTAAAAGACTGATGGACCAACGAAAAGCCTGGTAAAATTCATTTGCTTAACAAAATGGAGCATTTTAAGGTGTAAGAGCAAGAAGCTGTGGGAGTCTACCTTCTCCCCTGACCACATTAAGCTTTGTGGAGAGGCATTGACCTGCTGATGTGCTGCTATCCCTTATTGTCTGCTACTTCAAGCCCCTTCCTACAGAGCAGGGCTGATTTGTAGGTATCTGATATCTGGGATTTCCTAGATTCAAGTGTCAAGTTTGCCAAAGCTCATGGTGAAAAACCTATGGATCAGGCTATGACTGCAGCTTTCAGGGTGCTGTTTTCTCAAACATCCACTGTCAGGATCTGCTATAGGGTGATAGAGCTGTCTCTGGGGGCAAATGTAATGTGCCTGAGATTCTGTGTAAGCACCAGGTTAGCATCAACTGCCTGTCATAAAGAGTGGCCTCACACCTTTCTGCAGGTGGAGGCATACACCTGTGTGTTAATGTCACAGGGAAAGATTGCATGCAGTTCTATGTGTCTGTGGTTTGCCACACAGCTGGAACCAATAATGTTACTTTTGGTCTACAACATTATAACCAAGAAGAGAATCTGTCCTGAAGGCAATCTCTGTTCCTTCGGTCAGTAATCAAGAGTGTTTAGGACGGGCTTAGGGTCACTTTTGGATTTTACAAGTTACCGTGATGAGAATGACAACAGAGATTTGAGAGGATCCCAGATGCTTGGATTGCATAGAGTATATGCCAGGTCTATACTGCAGGATGTGCCACAGCCTTTCTCCACATCTTCTGCTGCACTCTGGCCTCCGTGCAAGAGAATTCCAGATGCCATGGTCAAATGTGTCTCTCACCAGGTCCCCCAGATCCCAACATAGACATGCTGCTGTGTTCATCAATAGGCAAAAGTAAAGACAGCTGTGAGCTTTGCTGTTTAACTAATCCGCTGAATGCATCTCTGCTCCACCGTGTAAAAGAAACAGCTTGTTAATGATCTAATATCTGGTTAACAAGTATGGCATGGACTCTTTATAAATGTGTTATAACTGCAGCCATTGCATTCATCACAAACAGAATATGCCTTTCCTATTTTATGTTTCTTTTTATCAGCCTTACCTCAACACAGTGACTTAGCACAAGAGCGTGCATACCTCAGCCAGCTATTCCTTTTGGCCTGTCACTGACCACCATGAGTTGCCTTGCATATATATCCCAGCACTTCATGTAAGAAAGGCTTGCCAATTTCCAAATGTTTGAGCTGGAAATGAGGTGTTGCTGCTTCTGTAGTGACACGCTTAGTTTAAGTCTGAATTATGCCATGAGCACTGGCAGGTTTTGTTTGGTTCATTTTTCTGTTTTCTCTTAGGCACTTAGATTTCTTTGAGATGGTCAGAAATGAAGATGACCTGGAACTAGCCAAGCGGTTTGACCTGGTAAGTTTTCCTCTGGAGCACCAGAACTTACCAAAATTGAACATCCACTTTGGATGCTTGGTGCAACTTTCCTTTGTGTTCCCTGAAAATAAAGATTGACTTCGGTGTTAAGAGTAGCTGGTACTCTTGTTTTCACTGTTTCTCATTTAGCAAGTAGGGGGTCTGTGATGTGTGAACAATGAAAACAAGGATCACAGACAGGGCTTCTGCCAAGTGTCTTTAACAAAGATGTCTTTCTTTTGTTTGGCTGAAGGTTTGGGAGTGGAGGAGGTTTTCAACCCTGCCCACGTGTTTTCAGTCCTGATGATCCAGATGCATTCTAGTTTCAGGCATTCCCTTTCCAGGACTATGGGTGAAGCTTGGGCTCTTCTCTGATACTTTTCCCAAGATTACAGGAAACTCTCCTGAAGACTGTCACCTCAGAGCCTGTGGAGAGAATCAATATTTTAGATTGGGTGGATTTTAAAGATGAGCATAAAACAAGGACAGTTTCCACAAACTCTAGCAACAGTAAGAGGCTGTAGGGTCCAGAATAGCTAGTTTCCTGTTTCTTCATGACCAGCTCTTGCCGTACACTGATACAGAACAACTAGCACTTTCCTGCTTAGTTTGTACTATTCGTGCCACCACTTTCTAGGACTCAAATGCTTTGCTTTCTTCAGAACAGCTTTTGGTGGTATTGCACGCTTCCCACCTTTCTAGCCCTTTATTTTGGGCATCTTTTCCATACTGGAGTGGGACAATGCTGGTCTGAAAGACCCACGTGCCTGCTCCTCACTGGAACTTGCAGGTGGACGTTGCAGGAGACTCTGCAGACGTCCAGTTACTGGAAATTTGCCTGTTTCTGTGTTGATCAGATCTTTCACACTTAGGCTGTCACTGTGCATGGTGTTTCTCTTATTTGTTCTTTCACTACCTGCTCTCACTTCAGATCCACATCGATACAAAAAGTGCCTCTCAGATGTTTGAGCTGATCAAGAAGAGGCTGAAGCACACAGATGCCTATCCCTATTTGTTATCCATCCTCCAACACTGCTTGCAGATGCCATGTGAGTACATCACAGTTTTCCAGAGCAAGGGGTATTGAAGAACTGGGTGAAGCTTTGCTTGTAGGTACAGGGACACAGATAACAGGACACACTGCCCCTGTCTTCCATTCGCAACTTGGCAGTGGCTGAGGGACTTGGTATCTTAGACTGACTTAATCCAGCAGATTTTTGTTGCCATACTGAAAGCAGCAGCTTGACCTCTTGGCACTTGCAAATAAAATTACGTAGCTGAGATATTCCAGTTAGTCACTGACAGAGCTTTTAATGATTTTAAATTAGAAGTTTTAAAAAAGAAAGACCTCTTGTGCTCTAGATCAGGGAATTCCCAGAAATAGATACCATTTTGCATATTAACAAAATGCACTGAGGATTTTTTCTGGTGAAACAATGCAGTACTGAAAGCTGTTCTGTCACTGGGAAATTCCACAGTATGTCTTCAGGCTGCTATCTCATGGCAATGCATCCATGGGGAGCTCCTGAACTCAAACTGAAAAGCAACATTGGCATTTGTTTTCAAGAGAAGTGATAGGAATCTTCTTCTTAAATGTAATAAAATAATTCAGTTTCACTTGCAGAGCATAGCAGCTGAGCAAAGGCATAACAAGATCACTAAAGAACTGCCTGCCTTGATCCTCTTAGGTGTCAGATGCTGCTCTTCTACTTTCAACCATACTTGAGCAGTCAAACTGAGAAGGGACCATGAGGGAGATGTACTGAGGTGTGCTTTTTCAGAAAGTAATGTGGTATGTTTTCAGACACTCATTAGATTCAAGTACTGCCATGCACAAATTCAAGCAGTTGTTTGTCCCAGTAGTCTCCTTGGTATTACTCTTTCAGACAGTACTTGAGCTTCAGGTATTGACCTGGATTTTTGGTGGCAAAAGGTTAAATCCTGCTAGGCCAGGACAGGATTGTACTGGAGCCGCTTTAAAGAATCTAAAGGTCTAGGATATGTAACTCAGGGAGCTGAGATGAACTTCATGTTGCTCTGGCTCTTCTGTTTGATATCCATGGGATTAGTCCCTTTGGTTCAATTTCTGTTCTTTCTCTCCATGCTTTTTGGTCATGTTTACATGAATTTTTCATGCCAGTTCATTTTCACTGACCATGCAGATAAAACATCTGATTGGTTTTACAGTGCCTGGGCATGATGTTACCTAGGTACTAAAAAAAACCCTCCAACAACAAGCCCCAGACAATACTGAATAACAGCTGTCACAAAGGAATCACTTCTGCAGGCATTTAAAGTGCAAGTTAGAGCTACTCTGTCAAAAGAGTTGCGCAACCTGAATGTGCAAATCAGGCACAGAGCTGCCCATGCCTGTTATGTGCTGTTCCAATGTGCCAGGTGTTTGTAAATAATCTGCTAGCAACAGTTTGGAGTTGGGCTTTGTGTTCTATAATTTACTACATACAGGATTGAGATGGAAGGTGGAAATGGAAGGAATGCTAGCCTGTTGTCAGGTCTGTGCACTTTGGCATGGAAATGGAAGTTCTCATGGGTTGGTCTTTTTCCATACAGATAAGAGGAATGGAGGAACCTTCCAGCAGTGGCAGCTGTTGGACAGAATACTCCAACAAATTGTTCTTCAGGATGAACGAGGAGATGATCCGGATATAGCTCCATTGGAAAACTTCAATGTCAAAAATATCATTAAAATGTAAGCTGCATTATTATTGTTTATTTCTGTTATGCAGGTAAAAATATATGATAAGTATGCAGGTGTTTAGGAAATAAAATGTCATATCTGAGGAGTTTCTTATTTTAACTTGCAGCTTCTTGCTGTCTTGTTAGTCTTCTAAATAGTTTCCTTCTAATGACATCTTAACCAGACTGTATTTTCTAGCAAAGTCCTTGCCTTTGGCTTCAAATTTCTATTAATATTAAGCTATTAGAAGAGCAGAAAAAATACCCATGAACAAGGCTTCCTCATGTGCCTTTTTTCATTCAGAATGTTGATGAAAGCTTTCATTGACATCCCCCCCCCCCCCCAAAAAAAAGAAGTGGTCATCTCTACTTAGATCTCATTCCTCACTAATGAGCACATAGTTTAGAAAGATTTGAAATAGTGGAAAGTAGCCCCCACCTAGCACACAAAACCTTTTACCTCTTCATAAAATGTCTGCATGCTCTCACCCACAGACTTGGCTGAGGGCACTACCATTATTTTTTCCCATAGGATGCATCATTTGAGAAGTCTAGCTACATGAGCTGGCTCTCATCTCAACTTCCTTGTTCTCAGTCCTTTTTTAGCCAAACTTTTGGACTCTTCATCCCATCCATCTGCCTCTGCAGGTAATTCATGGCCCATTACCCTTCTGAATTATCCACTGAAAAGAGCATTTTATAGACCATAAGCCTCATATGAAACCAAATTCTCCTGTACTAAAAATCTTACAGTCCCTCCTGTTACAGGCATGAGCCAAAATCAAAACTGATTTATCATCATGGAAAAATACGCTGGTGATTATCTCTGTCTGTCTGTATATCAGACTTCATTGTAGACCTTGTGCCTGATCTTTGCTTTCTACTTTCATAGCTACTCCTCATTCTGCATATCTAATCAATCCTCAGCATGCCCTGCATATTTTCTGTCAGTAATAGGAAATAGCTGTGCCAGTATGAGATATGAGTATTGCTTCGTAACTGATATATTACCTAATAGATAAGCATCCTCCCTCCTTGTAAAATAGAAAAAATAGAAGCACAGAAAGTAGAAAAAAATATGTCAATCTGGTTTTATATTAAAGGTGGGGTAATTTGTAACCCACAGCAGCTATGACTATTTTAGTGATGACTTCTCTCTTTCAAAGTAAGAAGACTTGGCACTTTGAGGACATTACCTGAAGACAGGAACATATCAGGATTTTCCCCCAGGCATTCCTTTATCCCTTGTCAGAACATTGAACAACGAGCCATCACATTTATATTAACTGTTGGCTACAGTAAGGATCAGGATCTGGAACCAGCCTGACCACTGGTATGATCCTGGTATGATCCTGATAAATATGTAAATTCACCAGGTTGCCTGTTGCTGATCACTACACATAATAGCCACTTGCCTTTCAGCCTGGGTAGCTCAGAACAAGTTTAAATGATTTGATTTCATCTTTCAGGTTGGTGAATGAAAATGAAGTCAAGCAGTGGAGGGACCAGGCAGAGAAGTTTCGGAAAGGTGAGTATCCCCTCTGTGCTTGGGGATGCAAAAGAGGAGGGAAGACTGATCCTGATTCCTGATAGAGCAGCAGGTAGCAGAGCTGGGCACAACTTTTCCTTTCGTGGACAAACTCTGCTTTGTTCCCTCCGGTACGTTTTGTCTCGTGGTGATCAGTTTGTGTTTCATAGGATAAGGCTTCCCCCAGTTCTCACATGAAGTGATTTTACAGTCTAAGCAAAACTTGGGCATTGCTGTCTTGATCACTGAAGATCACTGTCAAGACAGTCAGGCTCTTTTCTTTTTCCTACTCTCATACATCTCCAGTTGAACTGACAGATTTGCCAGCTTTATTTCAGTATAACCTGCACCTCTTTGGGGACTGTTTATGAGCTTTATTTCATCAGCCTCACTTGCCTGTTCCCCCTAGATCATGCCGAACTGATGAGCAGGCTAGAGAAGAAGGAGCGGGAATGTGAGACAAAGACCCAGGAGAAAGATGAAATGATGAAGACACTGAACAAAATGAAGGATAAGCTGCAGAAGGAATCCTTGGAGCTGCGCCAGACCCGGGACCAGATGAATGACCTGGTGGCTCAACTTAATGAGTTCTCGGTATGAGACTGGGACTCGTCCCATCCTTGTTTAAAGCTTGCTCACTAGTGAATGATGAATAAAAGCACATTATGAGTGAAACGCTTCCTATGGTCAATGTAGAGAGAGTCTGTCTAGCCAGCTACAAAGATGAATACTTAGGAGCTGCTCAGCTTTTAGGTGAGACCAAAATCCCTGAGCTGGTGGTATAGAATAGATAATGCATGGGCCGTTCCATTCCTTCTCCTCAGCCACTTTCCTTGCAGGAGCTGCTGAAACACACATGTCCTCCTCCAGCAATAATTTTTACTGCTGAGTAGGGTGGCCCTGGTTGCTATTTCAGCGGAATAGAGACAAGTCTCCCAGATACAAAAGTAAATTTAGTGAAGAAACAGGATTCCTGTCATTCTTCAAGAGCATCTGTACTGCCTTGGAGCTCTGCAGAAGTGACATTTGCAGCTGCTGTCTTCTGCGTGGTGCTGCTTCTGTCCCGGCAGTGTGCCTGAGCCTCAAGTCCCCAGGACACGGCCCTGAGATGTTAGACACTGAAAAAAGCAGATTGATTCCCTCCTTCCCTCTCCCACTTTGCATTAGTGGGGCCTAATGACAGGTATTCAGTATTTCAAACCCTAAGGTTTAAAGCCCAGGAGTTCAAAAGTTCATAAGATTGAACTTTTCTCTTTTTTTCTTACATAAGGAGAAAATAATACATTTTGGCTTCTTTTACTAGCTTTCTGTTTTTCTGAGCCATTTATGGTTCCTTTTTTCAAGCTCTTCTCTACAACTTCAAGGGCTTGAAACTTTCTCTTAAATGAAAGCTGAGATTCCTCCCTTTATTGCATGGCTTTGAGTGCAGGAGGCTTTAAAGAAAACATCAAATATTTTGAGACTTGTAATAAAATCACATCGACTGGCAACATGGAGTTATTGTGCCTTTTAAACTGTTTTCTTTTTCTGTGTGTTTTTTATTTTCCAGCAAGGGGGCAGCATTTCCTTCCCACCCCCACCCCCACCCCCTCCAGGTGGCCCATTCGCTTTGTCCTCTTCTCACATGTCTGAGAATTTGCCACCCCTGCCACCTCCTCTGCCTTTCTCCAGCTGTCCCCCTCCTCCTGCTCCACCACCTCCTCCAGGAGGACCTCCTCCCCCACCAGGAGCACCACCTTTCTTCAGCATGGGGATGCCACCCCCTTCAACAACCACCTTCAGCAGCAGTAGCACCAGCCTGAAGAAGAAATCTATCCCACAGCCTTCACACCCACTGAAATCCTTCAACTGGGCTAAGCTGAGTGAGGTAAGAAATTGCAGTACTCTCAGCAATTAATTTACTTGCTAAGTATAACAACTATGTGTTGATTAGTGAGTGCCATGAAGTGCAAGGTGACAGAAGGGAGTGCTGTTGTGGCTTTCCTTGGGCTGAGGTCACAGCAGGAGTCAGTAACTGTCTTGAGGGAGTCTCCCCAGGTCTCCAGCAGTGCCACATATCTCCTGTGATGACCAAGGTGCTGGTTAGATTGAGCTGCAGTAGATCTGGGCATGCTACTAGTTAGGCAAAGCTGTAGTGGGACTCTGGCTATGTAAGCCAGAGCTGGACATATCCAGGACTGGTATGCCAGAGCTGCCCTCGTTGCATGCCAGGGAAAAGGATAGCCAGAGCCAATGTGGGCAAAATGTGAGGGGCTGGTGAGAACCAGCTTCAAAACCTGCCTCCTCTAAGCTGGCAGGAGCAGTCACCAAGGAGAGAAAGGTGGCCTGATTTTCCTCACCATTTGTTCATGGCTACAAGGAAAGCTGCCCTTCATGAATGGTTACAACTGTCTCTTGGCAATAAAACTTCAATCCAGCAGTGAAAACAGAGGCCTTGGATTCTTCCTGTTGCACTCATTTTCTGCTACCTTGGTTGCCTCTCTTTTCCCTCCACTTCTCTTTCTTCCTTCTCTCCTTCTCTCTTTTTTTCCCCTCCTTCCCCTTCTCTTTAGGTCTTAATTTTATTATTTTTTTTTAACTGATTTAGAAAGAAAAAAAAGTGTCTGTGTTGAGTTTGGATGGCTGCCTAGAAACCCAGGTTCTCTTTTAGACTGAAACTCACCCAGGGCCCAACTCTGGCATTTGGAATGAGTGTCCAGGGACCTCTGGAATGCCACAAGAATTCTCTCTCCCCCTCTCTCCTTTTCTTTAAAATAAAGTGAAGTGAAATATTTGCTGCACCGTCTGTGCTTGTCTGTCAAGGCCACGTGGGGGGTGTGGGAGAGAATGTAAGGATGGGGATTTATTTTCCTTTGCAGAACATGGTACTTAGTGCTCTGAAGAAAAGAAATAATAACTAATATATGTATGTATATGAATGTATATGAAAAAGAGAGAGTCACAGGTGTTTCTGTTTAGTGTACAGTAACTGTAGGCTTATCCTGCCCTCTGGTTAGGAGTGAAGGCAGCTGTGCTAATAAAATTGAAGACCTGGGTGGTGAGGTGGGTAAAAGATGCTATTTTGAGGAAGGCAGAATAATTGGAAAAAGGGGCATAAAAGGGTGGGGGCTTCATTTTGGGATGTTTGCCACTGTTAGTGTTTTGATCTAGTGAGGTCTCTGCAAAACTGCAGAGGTTGTGGTGCAGACATGGGTGGCTTGCCTTTTTATTTGGGGTGTACTTTGTTAGGGAATTAATTCCACTGACTGCTGGAGGAGGTGATAGGTTTTGGCCATCTCCATCAGTTATCCTAGACCCCCTGCTTCAGTACCAGGCACTTTCTGTTCACATGAATACAAAACCTCTGAATGCAAAGTCATAGGTAGGTCGGATGGCCTCATCTTGCCTTTTGTTACCATTGCAGCACTTCTGTGGTGTTCTCCTGAACTGTCAAAGTAGCCGTACATGAATGAATGAAGACTGACAACAAGCACACTGGCTGGGACCAGGGTATCTTGAGCTTTTGAGCATTGGAAACTGAGGCCTGGAAGCGTGCATAGTATTATTGTGGTTTGTGATAGCATTTAATGTCCAGTTCACACGAATACAAGTTTTCCCCACGCAAACATTTTGAGGAAAAATACATCTGACACCATCTATATAAAAGACCAGTATAGTTAGCAAAGAGCACCGGCATGTCTGCACCACGCAACACAGCGAGGTGCAGTGACACAGCGCTGGAAACAGAACTGTACACAAACTTAGGGCTGCAGCCAGGTCAAATACGTTATTCAGCTCTTGTGTATCTTTGCATACTGTTTAGACCATCCTTCTTAAAGCAGTTAGTAGACTTTATCTCCTAAGCTTTCTTAAGTAAGTGTGAAGATGATGCCAGGGCTGAGGCAGCCCACATGAGAGTGAACCCCTTTCTGTCCAATGCAATGAGAGGAAGTCAACAGAGCCTGAGAGAAGTGTGGACAGGGCTAGTTGAGAGGGATTTGTCTGTGATGTACTTTCTTGGTAGCAGAATCAAGGCTGTTCTCCAGGGCAATTCATATGACACCTTTTTTCCCAATGCTGATATTGTCTTTGGAAGGAAATGACCGAGCTGTTGGGTGTTAGGAGAATTATCAAATATATTCAAATTCTTAGCAGCTGACAATAACAGATTGTCCACAGTTCCCATGGGCACCACGAAAAAAAGTTTGACTGGAAAATATTCATGCTTCTAACAAGGAAACTCCAACAACCCGCTAATTTCCTTTGAGAATTAAAGATTTCATACGAGCTTTGATGTTCGCTGATAATCAGTGGCAAGGCCATTTAGATGCCTGGATGGGCTGAGTTCTGGTGAAGCCCTTCCACACCACAGCCCCATTCATACAGCACTGTAGCATCCTCTGTGAATTCCATTCATACAGCACTACAGTAGTGCTGGTGCCAAGGATCTCTGTTTTTTAAGAAAAAGATATTGCAATGTAACCACTGTAATGTCCTGGAAAGATTCCTTTCTTTGTTTCTGGACAGCAAGTGGAGTTTGCTCTCCCACTCTGAATTTTACACAACACCCAAGGTCAAACAGGGACCAGGCATTTATGGGTAATCCAAATGATGGACTGGTTTCCAGCACACTGGAAGTATGGATTAATATAATTACCTCTTTGATAACTTCAAATTAATATATTTATTAGAGTAAATCAAGTCAATCTTCAACTGTCCTGTTTGTTATCTCATTGGCTGGAGGAGCACTTTCCCATTAAGAGTCAGGCTGGTAATGACTCTCATCTATGATCTGAATGGGACTTTCTTCAGCCAGCCCTAAATAGACCGGAGTGAAATTGTCTCAGAAGAAGGGTATTTGTTCTACATACCACATAGGATTTAAAGAAAAAAACCCACCACCGAAACCCCCCCAAACATCACATAAACAGAAAATGTTCATTTTGACACTATTTAAAAAAAAAAAAAAATGTTTCTGTAATGTTATTGATGATTCCAATTTCTGGAACTTTCTTCCTAAAAGCAGCCTGAGGATCATGGCAAACAATAATGCAGGACTCCTGCCAGAGATTCAAAATTAATGGAAAGATTTCTACAAAATCTCAGTGTGAAGCTACTCATAATAGCCTTGGTGGTGCCTAGTCCTACAGTGAGATAAAACAGCTGTCTCAATTAACAAACATGCCAGAAATACAATTTTTGCTCAAAGTGGATTTTTCTTGCACTGAGGAAAGGATCTGATAGCAAGAGAGAAATTTGAAGAACACACTCTGTTCATATCCCTTTTCAGATTCAAAATGGAATTATGAATAAAAATTTTAAGTTGCTTCACTTTTTGATGATTAATATTTTACAGATATTAACCTACTAATAAGCAGGATTGACTGCTCCAGTAATCACAGGCCACTCATAGTTTCTATGGTCTCTCTGGACCTGCAGGACAAACAAATGAAAGGCTTTCCCAAAGTACTGTAAGTTTTCACTCATACTGTAAGATTATTGAGGCATGATGGACTTTGGTGACTTGCGGAGTATCACTATTTATCTTTCAGGGTAAATAAAACCATCTGTTAGATGTAGCAGAGGACAGCTTGATATTATTTGTAGCTTCATGAAATACTGCCATCCTCTAGTCTTGGTAGGTCACTCAGCAAATTGGGCTTCATTACAAAGGTGGAATGACATAACTGCAGCAGCTACAGTGAGCAAATTGTTAAATGCAACACACCAAAAACTCAACTTGATGGAGCAAATGCCTTGCCAATACTTGTTCTGATTTAGTATGTACTACCATTTTGTAGAGGATGCTGGGAAATGTAGTTCATAGGATTTGCTTCTCAAAGGGAGCCAAGCCTTTGCAAATCAGAGGAACCACAGATCTTGGAAGACTCATAGAATGAATAAATAAATAAATATGGGGAGAGAAGGAGAAAAGCATGTTACGGATGAAGTGACCTCTCTTTTTTGTCTCTTTTTTTGTTTGTTTTTTAAGGAGAGAGAAAAAAGGAAAGAAGAAATAAAGAATTTACTTTATTTTCAAATTGTTATTTAGGGACCATAAATATTTTTTATGGTGCTGAGGGAATCATTTATCATAGCAACCACAATATGCAAGTCTGTTTCTCTTAAAACGCTCGGTCTCTCTGGCTGATGACAAGGAACTATCAGCCAGTTAATCCATAACTGAGTAGCAAGAACTCAGTGTAGGAAATTATCTGGCTGCAACATGAAAGTTTTCAAGGGCAGAGCTTTTAAGGTAGAAATAGAAGGGACAGCCCCATTGTAAGTGTTTTGTGTAACAAAGGTTGTTTATACCTCTGCCTGTTGTGTTTTTTCTTTGACTGGATTAGCCCGTTTGGTTTTCAAGCACTAAAATTGGGTTTCTTGGGTCAAAGTTCCATTTGTGCACACCATTGCAATGGGTGCTGCTTTGGAATTTGTCTTTCTGCTACAAGTAGCATACAAACCAATCTGTACAGGACCAGATTCATCCTGGGTCTTAAAATGAATCTGAATTGAAAATAAGAATAATTTTCACTTCCTTGGGTTGTTTTTCTGGGAAAGTATGGACGAGAACTACTCTCTGCAGTCCCTTTGTGAGTCGTGGGTCTGCCTGTTTTGGCACCTCTGCAGTTCATTTCGACTAGCCCGTTCTGCAGCACGTTTTCACTGTTTTTGTCATTTGTGGGGAAACTTCACTCCCATGAGAGTTTTGCAGCCCGACAGGTAGATGGGCAAGACTCTTATGAGTAGCTGTCTCTTGAGTCACATCCAGCCTTCTGCCAAACACAGCATATAGCTTTTTGGCATCCTCAAGGCTCTATCCTAATGATGGCTCTAAAGACTGCTCCTGAAGTCATGTCCGCTGGCTCCTGTCAAGAAATACTCTTCCATGTCAGTGTTTGATGAGACAATCTGAAATAGTGAGGAACTCTGAGAACTGATCTGTTGTTCAAATACATCTCTCAGGATTTATAATTCAAGGTTTATAAAGCCAGCCTGGAAATTGAATGAGAATGAACGCTCTGCCTGGATGCTTCTGGCTAAGGTTGGCAGTAGAGTCCAAGGTTAGGATAAAATGAAAATTAACTTTGTCTCCTATTCCTTTGGCTGAGATGAGCCTCCCGAACTCATTTGCCATGTTACAGTCACAGGGTCATGATGTTTTTCCCTACTATGGAAAAAAGAGCCACACTGATTGCAAGGAACGCTACAGTGATATTGGTGAGCCTGTTCAGGGGCGGGTGCTGCTCCCACCTAGTATATGCTCTCACTGTAAATAGCACTGCAGACACCCCTCCTTGCCCTCAGGCGCTCACAGGCTGCCTCTGGAGGGAGGGTGTTGGTTTTACTCCACAGTGTCTGCCCTGCCAGGAATTTCCTCCAGAACACTTCACACTTTTATTTCCTCCTCATTTCATCCTCCCATCAGGTGTTTTTCCTTGCTCCTTGAGCCTTGTGGCTTAGCACATTTCCCTCATTACTTTGATGACTGTGAATGGGAAGTAGAGCCTGTTCCTAATTAGTTCTGATAATGAAGTGTTAACGCACTTTGCTGTGTAGGTAGAAGTCAGGTACTTCAGAGCTGGAGCCTGTGTGAGGGTTTCATTGCTATTGCTTGCTGTTCCTGGCTTTCTCTGCATCAGCCTTCTGCTGGCTCTTCATCTCCTGGGGTTTGCTTAGGTCTCTTTACAATCCCTTTTGTCCATTTTCTTTGTCTTTTAATCAACACCTTCTTTATTTTTCCAGTTAACCAAGTACAATAAATGTAGACTTCATTAACTAAATGAACTGAAAGACAGTGTTGTCAGGTGTGAAGAGCATGTTTTCCTTTTCTGAATGGGCAATTGCCCAAAGCTTGTCCCACACAACATGCACCTTTAACAGTCAGTAGGAAGGAGAAGGTAGTTCAATCTTTGTGTCCTCTTTGCCAGCAAGGACATCTGTCCTGACAATGTCAGCAGGAGACCCCAAGGTCTCCTAGTTTGGGATGACTGGTGATTAGCTAATTCATGTACTACAAGAGCTTATTTGGTCCAGGGTTAGTGGACAGCAAAGCTGGAGGAGGACTCTGTGCCTGTCTCCCTCCATGCTAATCATCTGCCAGACAGCTAGGATTCCCTGGTATTCAGGGTAATGTATCATGTGGGTTGTGAACATTTCCAGTTAGTGTGGATGATGCTCTTTCGGAGATCTGGGTATAGTTTGTGTCTATCTGAGTCAACAAAGAACTCATGTAGACAGGGGCGATCATGTAATAGGAAACAATTAGACTTCAAAGGCTCAGAGCCTTAAAAGTAAAATAAAATAAAATCTTAAACTACTTTCACAGGCAGGCAGAATGGAAACCACACACCCTTTGGGGTTTACAACACAACCTGGCAAAATTTGCAGAAGGGAAGATGTGTCTGGGGTTTGTCACGCATCAGTGCCCTTCGTAAGCTTTTTCCTCAGGATGGTAACACTTCTTTCAGCATGACCACAATCACTGTGTTAGATGGCCACTCTTGAAAGGAAACGTACTGTGGGATCATGGATATTGCTTGAGATGTGGCCTGCTAGTCTTGGAATGTGCCCTTTCATCAGATGCTTGCTGTGATGAAAAATACAAAATATTCAGTATGTTTAAAAAATCCCCAAAAACCACACTGCTATTTTTTCTCCTTTGACTCTTGAAACAAAGTGTGCCCTCTAAAATGACAGCAGTAGTACATATGAATATGGCTAGTGAGCAGGAGACAATGATCTGTCCAAATGGGATTGGATGTTCTTAGCTAAAAGCTTTTGCTATCTCATTAAAATATGACCTTTTCTTTCAGGAGAGGATCCATGGCACAATTTGGAATGAGATTGATGATTTGAAGGCATTCAAGGTGCTGGATCTAGAAGATTTTGAAAAGATGTTCTCCGCGTATCAGAGACACCAGGTAGGGGTAAACTCTTCCCTACCTTATCCTCCCTGAATTTCTGGAGGAGGAAAGAACACATGACAGTGATCTGGGCCCTCGTCCACCTGCAGTCAGGATGCATCATTTGCTGCTCTGCCACTGTTCAAAAAATCACAAGACCAAAAGAAGTAGGGGGGGACATATAGGGCAGAGTATAGCCTTCTGTAACGGATACACTTCACACTAATGGGCAGCTCTCAGAGACAACAGCTCCCAACAGGTAATGCTCTATTTGATCTCAGCAGCCACTGGCCTCCAGAAGCTCCTAAGCTTTACATTCATGCTTGATATCCATCTTTCTATTTCTCCCATTCATCTAGAGAAAAAGTCTGCAGTTGCCTGAGTAGTAAGCAAGGTGACTGAATTAGCTGTCTTTTGCTTTGTCTGTTTTTTCTTAAGCAGCTAACTGACCCAACTGGCTAGGTGACAGAAACTGTCTGAATTACAGATTCTAACACAAACAGCATACTTTAAAAGTAGCCATTTATTAGAATGTCTTTTTTCCCCTCTTCTTTTTCTTGGAAAGCAAGTCACCTTCAATCCGTCTATCTCCACTGAATGAGATTTAGCAGGAGAGGGATTGTACTTGCACTCCCTCAACTCCCCGAGCTTTCCTTTGCTTTTGGAATTTGTTTGGAGAAATTAAATCTTTTGTACTCTGCAGAATTGGATCATTGCTCTGAAGTTTTAGGAAAAGACATAGACATGATTGCTATAAGCAGCCTTTATGATTAAGCTTTAAAGACAGTTTAATAGGTAAAGAAAAAGCCACACGCAAGCAAAGCAAAACCAGGAATTCATTCACCACTGCCCATGGGCAGGCAGATATTCAGCCACCTCCATGAAAGGAGGGCTCCATCATGCATAACCATTACTTGGGAAGACAAACGCCATCACTCTAAATGTCCCGTCCTTTCTTCCTTCGTCCCCCAGTTTTATATGCTGAGCATGACATCATATGGTATGGAGTATCCCTTAGGTCAGTTGGGGTCAGCTGTCCCGGCTGTGTCCCCTCCCAACTCCTTGTGCACCCCCAGCCGTCCCGCTGGTGGGGTGGGGTGAGAGGCAGCAAAGCCCTTGGCTCTGTGTGAGCGCTGCTCAGCAGTAACGAAAATATCCCTGTGTTATCATCAGCACTGTTTCCAGCACAAATCCAAAACACAGCCCTGCACCAGCTACTGTGAAGAAAATTAATTCTGTTCTAGCTGAAACTGGCACAGAGAGGAGGAAAGGTACGTGAAACTTCAGTGCTGTTACAAGATTGGATTAAGAACCTGTGCCAACAGTTTAGCTAGGGTGGTGAGTTCCTAGTGGTCTTAAAAGTAGCCAGACTGTCATCTGTCCATGTGAGTAGCCATTGCAGCATCAAGGTGCCATTCTGGTATTTCAGGTGCAAACATTGCAGCTTACTCACTAGAAATGACCTTGCAAGGCCTTGGGCCCCAAAAGCCAAAGCCAAAGCTGTCCTGTTCTGCCAAGTCCCAGTTAGAATCAACATTTATGGCTGCGTTACCAACCACTGAAAAGCAGCCTGGCCTATTCAACCATAAACTAACCTGACCCTTACCTGTGCCCGCTGGAATGGAGCCATCATCTCAGAGTGACCTTCGTGGGTCTCAGAACAGTTCTCTTCCATACTCATTAAACACACTTCATGACAGTGGCTCCAGACACTAGAGTATCATTTATGTCAGCTATTCATATTTGTGTGTAGTTAGGTGCATTGCTGCTCTTCCTGCTTTCATTGAGGGTTTTGTTGGCTTTTTTTCCCTTAAATATTCCATTGTTATTATTTTATGTGATACTTTCTTTTTCATCCATACTCACTCCAGTATGAACTGGATTCCAATCAAGAAGTCCTCATCAATTCTCTTTTTCTTTTAAAGACCAGGCAACCAAAATTGCTTTTGAATCAAAATCTTATGAGAACTTTTCCAGTTGATTCACACTTAGTCTTTTCTCCTCTCATTTTTGGAAATACAACACTCTGGCCAAGTATGTGTTTACCCTGGGTTTGTGACTTTTAAACTTCATCCAAATGTCTGTAAAGAAAAATGTCAACGCAAAGCCCTGCTCTTGTGCATCTGAAATGTTGAATGAGTACAGATAAAGACATTTCTTTCTTTTCTGTTATTAACATGATCTTCATATTTTTTCCAGTTTCATTTACATAAACAGCTTTTCTTTCTTCTTCATTTTTTTAATGACAAAGGGTCTGTTCTCCTCTCTCAAGCCCAGTGTATTGGTTTTGGTGGCTATGAGGAAAAGCAGAATTGTCCAGTGTACAGAATACTGGACCAAGAATTCTTACACTTGTCTTTTGACCTTGCTCCAATCTCACTGTGTAATATTGACCTTTTGATTCAGTATATCTGGTGTTTTCCTGGAATATGGAATATGTTGTGAAATAGTTGGTGTCTGTCACCCAGTAGTACTGTGAGGCTTCTTTGGCGGTTACATAGTGCTTTCAAAATACTTGGCTATAAGTTGTTGAAGGGTACAATGGGCTGTTGAAACAAGTTGTTACTAATAATGGCAAACTGTGTCTATGCATCAGGAGAGGAGAACTGACCCTCAAGTTTTAACCTTGGCAGTTCTTTCAGTAAGGCTCCAGACTAGATTTGTAAAGGTATTTAAGCATTATCCTAGTTAATGTTTCAAGACCTAAGAGATTTATGCTTTGGAGACTGAATTTATTCTTTTCAGAAAAGACGTAGAACTCTTAGTTTCCCAACATCTGCTGATTTAAAATATGCAAAGAAATGCTGAAATACCTTTGAACCATCTGGGCCAGTATTACTCGCTAAGCATTTTATTCTCTTAGAAAACAGTGTGTGTCTGAATTCAGCTGCCTTGTTAAACTTGATATCTTTCTCTGTGACTAATTTTTGGCATGTTTCCTTCTTCGTTATTTGCGGCTGCTGCCTGCATAGGACCTGCTAACTAACCCCTCCTCCTGTAAGCAGGTGAGTATCATTATCTGCCTCCTGATCCTCTTGCAGTGTGTGGGATGGTGAAGTCCTGCACCATGCCATTATGGGGTCATGACTCATCTCATGCTACTCTTTCATATGCCCTTGCACCTCTGTTTTCTAGGTGGGGAAGGTGGTACAAAAAATTCCTTTAGTTGTATTATCTCTGCGATAGGAAGTAGTTCCTGTTCTTTCACTTAGCCACAACCTCACTGTGGTTTCTGATGGTGTCTGTAGTCCCCTTTTTGATGGTCCTGAGGAAAAAGACCAGGGACAAAGTAGAATGTGAACATGAACTCTTCCTTAACCAAACTAATAGTCTCTCTAGTGGAGAATAAAAGGGGCTCTAAGGGAGCCTTCACTCCCACTGTTCCCACCTGTGGTCCATCTGCTTTGGACCATACTGAAGTCTCCAGCTGTATTCACTAGCCACAGAATTTCTGATAAAGTCAGTCCTTATTTCTGTAGAACCAGAAGGCACTTTGGTTGGGCAGAACAATTTGTGCCAGCTGAGGAGCAGAAGGTTTAGACTGGAGCAAAGCCTACTTTATTTCAAACTGCTGAAACCCTCAGAAAGTTCAGCAAAAGACTGAAATGGTGTTTAGATGAAGTAGAGATATCAGACTGCCTACATGTCATCAAACTGACTACCTCTCAATTTATTTATAATCCTAAGCAAAATTCTTGGCAACACTTTTGGGGAGAGCAATGCTCTCAGAAGAGAGTTGTTTACATGTCATTGCAACTGTCTCTGGTGGCTTCAGAAGAAAATAGTCCTCACCATGATTGCTCAGGAAATTGTATTTGGAAAGTCTGGTCAGGACCTCTATCACTGGGTGAGGCTAACACATGGTTCTGGGCCATTTACTGGCTTTCGTCATGGCAGCATGCACCATGAAACAGGTCAACATGGTAGAAAGAGTTCCCTAAAGTATTGACATTGCAACCTAGGGTGCTGCCGTGGTACCAGACCACGAGTTCTGCAGCTAACCAAAATCAAACTGTATTTGAAACAGGGCAGCAATATGATGAACACATTCCATGTGTCTAGTCATCCCAGTACTGAAATTTTAGTTAATTTTTGAATTTGCAATTAAAATCTGAAATCTGAAATACTCTTTGGACATAATATAATGTTATTCTAGATAGAAAGTTGGTAAAGAGTGATGGGATAAAACTTAGGGATCTTGTCTGTCAGATTGACAACAGCTCCAACTATTCTTGCCTTGTGTGCTTGGTCTATCTCACAAAAGCTGGTCACTACTGCCCCCTTGCTCCTCTTTTTCTATGCCTAAGAAAATGCCGATAGTTCATATGCAATCTGTTTTCCTTCAGCTAAGCTTTCAATCTGGCTTCAGTAAAACCTGAGGCTTCATCTGCTTTTGCTTACACACAACTCCAAGTATCTATAAATATCTCTCTCCTCAATATGAGTTGAAGAGAATATATTTTTAGATGAGACTAGCCCACTCCTTATGACCAAGGAGTGGGCCATGTCTGAATAGTTCGTTCTTAATCTGTGTTGAACCTTGTGGTTTGGGGAATTGGAAATGGAATGGAGACTATTATACCAATCCCTGCTGCCTCCCAAACCCCCACCCCACACACACAGCCAAACCCTGAAATAATTTGGGTTTTTCCTTGGGATGGGTGCTGGTTAACACTAACCAGGTGTGCCTGTCTGCAAACATGAACTAGGGAGGGACAGCGAAGCTTTTAAACCAAGAGCACAGACCAACAAGTGTGCCCAATGCACAAGTTTCCTTTTTTTGGAAATACTATTTGATGTATGAAGTAACATTGCAATTTTTTGTCTGCCAAGCTAGATGCTTTGGGCACATCCAGCAGAACTATTGTGTGCACGTCTTCAGCTGGTGCATTGTACGTGTGTATAAATGCCACTTAGTATCGGTGGTGGCTCACTGCAGCACATTTGGATGTGGTTGTAGGAATCCTGTGTATATCCAGGAGCTACACAGGCTCATTGTAGTTGATTGTACCAAGAACTCAAATGGCAACTGGCAGTATGAATCTATGATTTACATTTAACTCTCAAATATTTAGATGTCAAAATATCTCGGAGTGGATTAGTCATGCTGATCTAAGTAAGCCCTGAGCTGCAGAACCTTGAGTCCTGGGAATGAATTCTGGGAAGCACCACTGTACATTTGCCATGATCTTACACCTTTCCCTGGGTGCCTGCTGTTGACTGCTCTCAGGGACAGGATACTGGGGTAGATGGACCTTTTGATCTGACTCGGCATGCTTGCTGTTATGTCCTGAGAAAGAAGGCACCTTGCTAATTTGGTGGGTGCATTCAAAGCTAGATTATGCTGGTAAGTCTCAAAATCTCAAGGCATGACAATATGGATATCATGGAAAGGCATTTCTAAAGCTATTCCAGCAGCGGTTAACTGGGAAAATAAAAACTGTGGTTTCCAATTCCTTCTTCTCAGTTGGTAACTAGAGAGCTATTATCTAGGATAACACCTTTTATCATTACCCCTACTTCTCTTTAAGGAATGCTATTAAAAGATACTCAAAGTAATTACAGAAAGACAACCTTTGGAAGTGAAACAAATCCCATGGCTCTGGTGTGTAGGCAGGATAAGGAGACAGAGACTTCTGGATGGTCAGGCTGGATTTGCAAATAGTTTCTCTGTGTGTGCTGTGACAAACATTTTGGATTTTCCAGTTTTTTTCCAGATGATGAGTTTGGCAATGGGGATATACAGAGAACTTTGAAAAAGCATGGTTTCTGTACCATCAAAGGTATTAATTAATTTTAAAAAGAGAGGCTAGTTCAGATGTAGATGTTGACCATTTAGTAAGATATATTCAGTATGATAAGTGCCATCTTGCATCTCTCATTTCATATGGATTGGACTGGTTCAGTGGCAGCCTTAAGAGATGATGGAAGGATTTTTCCTGATTGGGCTGCAGCCTTTCAATAATGCTGTGTAACCCTGCAGGAGGCATTTTCTGAAGGATATGCTGTGACACCAGTGGGCATTACCATAATGTGCCCAATTTCCCTGTCATGCCAGTTTTGCACAATAACAAAATAATAATAACACAACTGTTGGTAGAGTGAGTCCAATAGGTCAGAATCAGGTCCAGTATTTAGCATCAACGATGATCTTATAGGTGGTAATGAGTGACTTCTGTTTGTCTAGTAACACAGGATCTACCTACTTGTTTTCTGTCTCCTTTTCTCACCGTGTGGGTGGATTTTCCCAGGTTGGGGTGGGTTTTGTTCATTACATTCAGCTAAGTCTGTCAGTCTTGGGTGAGAAACATGATACTGATTGTTCCCCCCCCCCCCCCCCTCCCTTTTGAATTATATGCAGAAAGAGATGGGTTCAACAGAAGACCTTTACCTCTCCACACGAAAGGTGAAAGAGCTCTCTGTGATTGACGGCCGGAGGGCCCAGAATTGTGTCATTCTCCTTTCCAAGTAAGTGTGATAAGCCTTAGCTCACAGAGTATCCTGTGGTCAACAAAGGCAAGAGGGGATGGAATTAAACAAACGGGCATGTTTCTTTTCTCACCTAGACCTGCTAATACCTGCAGAGCTTCAGAGAAACCTCTCCTGCAGTATCATAAAAGTACCTGTCTCTCTGAAGTATTAGCTCACTTAATAAACATATGCACACACACATTTTGTGCATTAAACAGATAGAGACACCAAGATGTATCTGAACACTTATCACCACAAAACTATCAGTACTTATAGGCAGATGAAAGCAGCTCATTGGCCGTGCTTGCACCTCACTGTAAGTGATGTGTTCCCCACGCTCTGTGTATGTGATTTGTGTCTGCTCTGTATGTTGTTTTTTTCTAAATGTGGCTCTGAGCATCTCCCTGGAATACAGCAGAGCTAAGAGTGGTGTTCACCTTTGTAATTTTTGACTCTTGGTGATAAGAGTGGAAACGTAAAACGAGATATTCAAGAATTAGGTCTTGTATTTGTAAATTAGTTTTCGGAAGCCAGGAGTTGCCTTTGCATGCTCCTGCAATGACTCTAATGCTTTCAAATGCTGTGACATTAGATCCCTCTATATGCTTTTCATGCCTTTCTACCAACATGAGTACTGGGCTGGATGTCTGTCACTAAACGTCAAATTTGTGCGGACACTGATCCACCTGAGAAAGTTGCCTTTCCTGCCAGAGGAGGGACAGTGGGGCTGGAGACAGATCCTGGGAAAGCTGTGGCAGTACTGAGCAGTAACACTGTTTCACTGATCAGTAGAAAATGTGCGTTGTGTGGACGTGGTTGCTTGTCTGCTCTAGCAAGCTAACAGTTAAAAGCAAAGTTGCAGCCAGACCACCAGGACTGGAGTGAGTTCTTTCCATTGCTTAGTGAAACCCACGGAGGCACTCATTATGCTACTTATGTGGCATTAGCCCGCATGTCAGCAGGACCCCCCCATCCAAACCAGCAACGAGGGAAGGCTTACATTCCTCTCTCTGCAGCAGTTGCCAATGCATGTCTTTGCTGGTGTTGGCAGCTGACTGCAGGCTAGGGCAGAGCAATGGGGAGGCATAGGGGCAACAGGATTTTCATGCTGTTTGACAGACCTGCTAAAGTGTGTCTGGGGTTCAGATTAACTCATGTAAGCACATGGAACATTTCCTAGAAGTGGTAACATAATGTGTGCAGGTGGCCGGGCTGAGGAGGATCCAAGAAGGTGGTCCAAGAGTTGGTAGTGATAAATAGCACTAGATATTTATTTGTAAACATTTTCTATCCCCAAAACAAAAGCAGTGTGGGTGACAGCAGTACGTGTTTTTCACTGTTCGCCTCTTCTGCCGTGCAAGTCTGGCCCATTCTTACCTGAGAGGAATCCTCTTTAAACAGTGAGAGAGAGCCAGGACAGTCTCTGTGGTTTGTCTTCCCTTCTGCTGCCTCCAGCAAAGGGGCACTGAAGCATGAACCTTGCACTTCAGGGTACACAGCGTGTGTTCACTCCAAGTGTGCAGTGAAGCCAGTCCACCTCAAGTTGCTAGTCTGGACTTAAACCAGAGGTGAAAAGCTGTGGTTTGTGACTGCCAACTTCACCACTAGGAAATATCCTGATCTTATTTTAGCAGGCCTAACATGAATGATAGAGATTTGGAGACTGAGCTCACTGTCTTTAAGGAGCCTGCCAGTTTGCATTGTGCCCTGTTAACTTCCCTGGGCTGCGCTATGGGAAACACCGGGCACCGGGGCTATCACTGGTTTAGGTCATTGAATGTTCTGTAACAGTTAGTGTTACACCCAGGACATCAGGGATTTCTTACAGCTTGGCCCAGGATTGCTACTCCGCCCCAAACTTCCCTTTTAAAGGCAAGTAGAAAAGCAAAAATCTTTGGGAACTAAAATGGCACCTCTACATTCATGCCTTTTACTGCTCTTTGTGCTTATATGGTTCTATTATTAAAGACAGCAATTGGGAGGATTGGCTGCAGACAATAATTGAACGGGTTTTACGACCCCTTTGCAGGTTTTTTTCATTACCCTACTTCTTCCTCCTTTAGGTTTAACCCTGAAGGAGAGAGACTCCCAGCCAAATCATCCCTGGCTGCTGCCATGCCCTTGCTGCTTCTGGAGCACACCTTACACATGTGTGCATGTGGGTGTGCACACACGTGCAATGAGAGGGGATTTAAAATTGGTGACAAACAAAGAGAGTTTGTGCAACCCTGAGCTGCAGCCCCAGCCCCAGCTTTCAGGTTGCCACAGTATCTGCCAACAGCTGTTTCCAATTGACTCTTACTGTGCATATATCCCTGTAGTTTATTCCCCCTTTGTTTACACTAAACTGTCGTGTCCTTTAAAGTAAAATAGCTGCATGGGTTGGGTTTTCTTTCCCTCCACTACTCAAATGTTTTTGTTTTACTAACACTGTGTTAGAAGGGGTCAGGCAGAGCTCATATTTCATATGGTCCAACAAGCCAAAACCTAGCTAGAGTGAGAAATGGATGTCTCTTGCTTGCTTTCACAGAGAGACTGCAGCATGGTGGATTGAAAAGAGATGAAAATTGAATAGCTGGCTGATTGTTGCTGACAGTTAACAGATTCATAAACCTTCCTCCCCATTCTCATCTCTATTTTTATAAAAAAAAGCTCTATTTCATCTACTTGATAGCAGCATCTTTCAGTTTTCCTGCAGTGGAAGGATGTAATTGCCCTTGTTTAATGGAGCCTGATGGATCCAGACCGAAGCTCTGTCCCATAGGCCAACTGTAAAGGTTTGAATAGGCACAAGATCAGTTTGTCTCACAGTATTTCCAGTAGGCCATAATTCAACCAGGACATGGAACCATCTGTCTGTGGTGAATCCAGGCACCCACCAGCTTCAAATCTGGCTTTCTTAATGGTGTTTCCAGCATACAGTTATTTCTGTCACGCTGGAAATCTGCTATCCCTCATGAATTTCCTGATGTCTTCAGTTTCCACCAGGCTGGAGATTTACTGTCAGACTTGTGTGGTCTGGAAGAGTCATCCCAGATCCCTGTTTTTCCCTGCTTTCACCTAGCAGCTGGAAATTTCTCTGACCTCTTTCACCAGTATGGCTTTTCCCTGCCTCCATTACTTAAGTAACGAGTAGTATTTTTGCTGCTCTGCTGTTTTTGTTGTACCTTATCTTTAAATGTTCTTGCACAATATTAAATGGTCCTGGCAGAACATGCCTAAGAAATGTTTCTCTTACTGTCTTGCTCTGTGAAATGTTCTGGAGAGGTCCAGTTCTATGAGACAATGTTGCTCAGAAGAAGGCTGAATGTATGCTTATGGAACTTTTTGGTGCAAGTTATTTTGCATGAATTCCAGCAAAATCATTATGTCAGTGTTGTTCTGAGATGTGTTTGTTATTCCTGTGGCCCATAGTCAGCAGTAACCCCCTCAAGAGGCTAGAAACAGTAGGAGTGCTAGCAAAATGTCATAAAACCAGTAGTAACAGGAGGCAGAATCTGACTACATAAAAATAGTTTTAAATGTGAGTATGACAGTAGACAGATACTAGCAGGCAGCTTTACCAAATGTTTGTTGCTTTCATGATTGTCAGTTCAAACATCAACCAATAAGGGAGAAGAAAAGGGACGTCTGCAGCATTTCCAACCAGAATACTAAAAAGACCAAGTATTTCTCTCACATAGCTGTGCCTCTGCAGTGCTGCTAAACCCTTTCAGATGAGACGTGAAGAGGACAAGCTCTTCAGCCAATGTCAGTCTCCGTGTGCTGCCTCTGCGGTGCCCCCACTCCCCGTGTGCCTTTCTGCCATGTGACAATGCAATGTTCACCCTTATTTTGAGGTAGATTCCAAACAGGATGATATTTTGGGGTACGGATCATACCTTGATAACAGAAACAGTTTGTTGGACTCAGCAGTTCAGTTCCTCAGTGTGCTGTCTTGAAAAACACTAGGCGATAAACAGTGCCTCCTGGGTTCCTGGAGAGATTTTCTGATTTTTAAGTTAAGGTCCACAATAAATTGCTTTACCTGCTGTTCAGAGTATGATAAACCCCAAGGTTAAACTGAACACATCAGTTGGGGCCATCCTGTCTTAGATCACAACTAGGAACCAGTAGGTAGGGTTGTGATAAAAGATGAACCACTGCCTCATCAATATGCCACTGTAATTTGGGGATTCCCGAGTTTGGCCCTGCTTTGCTCTGCTTGGCTCAGAAAGACAGCCATCCCCATGGTCCGTCTTGGTAGGAAACTGAGAGTGTTTGGATGCAAAGTAGTTTGGTCATTCATGACCTTTTGCTGAAGGAGGAAAAGAAAAGCCCGTTTCTTTATGCACTTGACAGAATACTTTCACAGTGAAGTGCTGAAAAGGCACGGGTGGATTTTTTCCCAACATGTTGATATAATGGTGTAAGATGTACCTGATAAAATATCCCTTTTGTCCCCAAAAGCTTAAGGCACTGTCGTCTTCACTGATGAGATGAGTTGGCAGCTGAGATAAGAGGATGTGAAAAGAGTGGCTGCATCTTTCTGTCTTCTGGGTGAACATGCAATTAGACCAGCCTGACTCCTGAACACTGCTTCTGAGAGCAGGGAAGCATCTCCTTTTCCTGCCTTTATGGGGTACTGACGATGAGTATTCCCAAAATGTAGCTATTTAAGTCTGCAGCTTGACAGTTGTACAGAGCCTTAGGAGAGCTTGGGAGTTAGAGAAGTCTTATGCCCCAGTCACAAAGTTTGGAAGTGAATTGACTAGAGCTTGTGTGAAATGATTTGTGGAGATGGAGAAGTTCTGCAGTCAGTAAAAGCTAAGATTTGGGTGAGCTTGTGCAAACTGGCTTTAGGATGCAGCTAAGTATCAGTCGGTGCCTCTCATTGTCACAGCTGCTGCTGCTGGCATCTTTTGGAAGCACTGTGGTTCAGTTCAGTTTGAAGTAGGAAATGACCTTGATACATGATCATCAGTCCCCTTCTCCAAAGTAGAAGGAAAAGTGGGAATGTGAACCCTGTGGCTTCATGTAGCTGCAAAGAAACTCCGGGCTCTCTGGTAGTAGGCAAGCATGCTTCTTTCTCGAAAGCTAAGCAAGATCCAAGGAATAAGCCCATGAAGTAACTCACTTTTTCCTCTGAGGGGGAATGAGCGACAAGTATTCTGCTTTGATCCATGGGAGGGAGGAATGAAGGGAGGAGGTTACTGTGAGTTAAATCAATGGGTATATTTAAGGAGGAAAAATGAACGAGCACTGGATGTCTGTAAGGGAAGTTGATGTAAAACTGCAACGTGTCTCCCAGGCATGTTCAGAGTCAGGCTGCCGGCTTTCTCTGAGAGGACGAAACAATAAACCACTTGATGTCTGCAAGTGAAGCTGGTGTTAAATCAGCCGAGGTGTCCTGGGGAGATTAGTGATGAATTACTCTGCAGAGTCAATAGAGATTATTTATGAAGCCAGAGGGGATAGAGGGAGGCAGGCTAAGTACCATATCAGAAGTTATTTGGTACTTGTTGAGCTTTAACATTGCTTGAAGATGACTCAAGCAGTTGGACTTCCATATGCTGCCACCAGATGTATGGGTGAGGGAAGAAGGAGGGAGTATTCACTGTAAAGACCCTTTTCCTTCCTCATCTGACCAGCGTCAGGCTGCTGTTGAACAAAACCAGTCAGTATCTGCACTATGAATGAATGTGCTGCAGCTGAGGAAAGGGGCGCTGTGTTTTCTTCTGGTCACATTTACTTCCTGAGTTCTGATGCCAGGATCCATGATCTGGTGACGTGTAAGGCAGAGAGAATACAGCTTGAATTGTATGCTCTTCCGAACTGAGCTGTCTCCAGCAGCTGGAGGAAGAGTGCCTGGATCTGCAAAGCTTGTAAGAAAGTCATTGCAGACTTTCCAATAGATACTGAAATATAATTTCTGTAGTGTAAATTTTTGGGCCATAATTCCACTTTAATTTGCTGTCTGTCCCATATGAGTTTTGGGCTCTGAGGGATGCCTCTATTCAGTTCTAAATGGAAAGATTTTACGCATCTGCTTTAGGTTCCTCTTTAATCAGTTCACTTGTTTCTGTTTAAAAGCAGCACATCTGTTTCACATTACTGCTGGCCATCTTTAAGATCTACTGCACGGCTGGGCATGAGTTTTGAAAACAGAAGAAGAATCACTTGCTTAACAATTCTTTGGCCAGTTATTCAGCCAGTTTTTAAGTGGGAAGATCCCTGTTTTGTCCTGTTGACGCTTACAGCTCTTGAAATGTGTCCTGCCCTAGAAGAGGAACAAACCCCCTTTGGAACAGTAAGATTGTTTTGCTGTAAATCCTTCTGTACTTGTAATTGGATTGGTAATAATCTAGGATGCACACCTGCAGGCACCGTGACCCCGTTGCAGGCCTGTAAGTGACTTAAGTTAAACCGCTTCTCGGCAGGGGGCTGGCAAGTTTTCTGCTTCTCTCTACTGTGGGCTAGACCATTCAAGCCAGATGTTTTTCTACCGATGGCAGGGCACAGAATCATCCAAGAAATCAAAGTGTTTGTATAACTGTCTGTCCTTAGGGCTCTCAATTATTTTTGAACAGAAGATGTTTTCTAGTGTGTCTAGTGCCGATGAGTGGCAGCAAACAAAGGAGCTGGGAGTCGGAATTCCTCTGGCTCCTGGCTAGAACAGCACCTTCTGATGTGTTGACATACCTCAAACCTGTCTATTTGCATCCCCAGCCACACACAGAGGGACTTGGACTGTGTAATGAGGTGGTCAGTGTAGTAATGGCTTGATTTATTTGCATGGAAGAATCATGAAACTTGCCCTCATTCTTTTTATCTTCAGTGATAATAGCAACATAAAAACCCCACCCTGGTGTTCATGGGTTGGCTTACTGCATCCTCTCTGACAGATTGTGTGCCTGCATCACAAGTCACAGATGATCTGGGGACTCCAGATTCTGGAAGATGTGCTTTCTAAAGGAAAAATAACTAACAAGATGTAGCACTTTAAAAACTGCAGGCACCACATTGTGCACGTGTATATGTGTCTGCCGGGAGCCAGGCCTACACTCACCGATATGCTTCTAAGCCCTCGTGTGGTCACAAGGGTTGATCAGTTCAGGGCTGTGCAACCATGGACTTTACAATTAATGACTATTAAAGCCAGAAGAAACCCTTCAGTTTTCTGACTGAGACTGTAGAACTTTATGCAGAACCACGTGTACTGAGGTTTGTTGTTTTGATCCCGAGTCAAACTGATGACTGAAAGTAAAAAGTTTCCAGCCTTTTCATTGTAAAACTTCTAATCCTTCTATCTCATCCAAGGAAGGCCTAATTATGCAGCTTTTCTGGAAATTCAGTAGCCTTATCTTAGCTGCTATCAGTTTGCTCTCCTTGTCAAAAGCAGACATGAGGACCAGTTAGGAATGGAGTGAGAGCAATTAGTTCAGAGGTGTAATATTTAAAAGCTTTTGAATGTCTGCTGATTCATATTTTAGTTTCCAGCTGTTGGTTATATTGGGCAATATTAAAATGTTTTAAGTTTCTTAGATTTAGTAATATTTCCTGCCTGTAAAAATAAAGCTCTTTCTTTTGCTTTTACCTAGTTCCAAAAATATGATTCTATCCAAATGGCAATAGCAATGTGAAATTTCAACATGGAATTTCTTAGCACTGAAGACAAAAACATTCTGCCTCATGCATCAGCCTGTCTCTCATTTACATTTGCATTTTTTCTTTCTGCTGTTAATTAATTATATGGATTGTAGAAGGTCCATGGAGACTGCAGACTTCACTCCTCAAATATTTCTTTTCACACTTTCCTGTTTTAGTCCCAAAATTGAGATTTTCTTGTGGATAGCCTTTCCTTTATGGTTCATTTCGTCCTCCCCTACTCTCCTGAAATGACTGATGAGGGTGTCATGGATTGTCATGGTTGTGGGGTAGAATTTGTCCCTTGCACATTTGTTCATTGACATCTGTGCTGAGAACCACCAAGTTCATTTCATGTATTCTATCAAACAATCTCTCAATAATCACAAATTTTGACTACTTCTGGTCTGCCCTGGATTTCTAGTGGAGACCTTCAGGGTTTTTTTTATTGATTCTGTGTTTTGTTGTAACTGATGACCCCTACTCATTGCACGCAGATGGACAGGAGTGGGAGGGAAGGAGAGTGTAATTTTAATACCTCAGATAATACTAATAAGCTCTTGTTTTCAGAGCTTGTTTCATATTGGATATGAAACATGGATATGTAGATGCTGTCAATTCCTCCTTCAGCTGTAACTGCTGACAGAGTGAGCTTACCTAGCACAACTGGTCGTCTTACAACAAAAAACTCTTGTCTCAGATCTGTAAGGGAAAGATCAGTCCTATCGCTTGTTACTCTGGGACATCCTTTAATATGCACAAGCAGAAGTGTAACATGGGCTCGCAGTCACTTACAAGTCACAAGGATTTGAGGGGTTTTACTATAGCACAAGAACTTGATGAGGTAGCTATCTGGTATGGGGGAAGTTAGAAGCACTTTTGATTTATGAGGTTGTGATCGTTCTTAATCACCATCTAATTTTTTATATGTGTTTGATTAACTGAAGAGGATAAAAATGATCTAGGAAATCTCTGCCTTTGGAATGGATTCATTCATCTTACTGAATACTACAGAATAGCAGCTTCATAGCAGAGCTTCCCATGTGCCTTGTTTTGGTGCCTTTTTAGTGCTGCTTTTCAGGCTTCCTACTTTCTGAATTGTCAGTGTCACGCAAGCTTTACACTAATGATACAATGTTGATCCTATTGAAAGGCTGAAGCTGACTAATGAAGAAATCAGACAAGCAATCCTGAAGATGGATGAACAAGAAGACCTAGCAAAAGATATGCTCGAGCAGGTGAGAAAGATTACAGTCAGATATAGCTTATTCTGAAGTCCTTTACTGCCTTTCTCTTCTTCCTTCCCCTTTCCCTTTCCCTTCCCTTTTCTCCACCTAAAGTAAGTGGATCTATGTACTGGTTCTGCTTGTATGTCTGCAGGTCTGAACTTGGCCCTAACATGTCAGTGGAGTTGCACATGGGAGCATGAGAAAAGTATTTCCCAATGTTGTCCAATATACCTCCCTCATGTAACTAACTATTTGTATCAGGTTGATTTCATGACAGTTTTCTCTTCTTGGTGCAAAATACACATGATTAGAGTTGGTATGATGTTTCCTTTCACATCCTCTCTTCTCACCTGTGACTTTCCCATTATTTTCCCCATCTCTTTATATTGCTGATTACTTTTTGTTCTTTTCCTTAATCTCCCTTCTTTGCCTGCAGCTTTTCCATTGGGAAATGCCATGAACTAGGCCATGTAGGTCAGTGGTTAGAGCTGGGACTAGAAGGGATCTTGCATTCTAACTTGAATGGCTAGAAAGGGAGTCAAGGACTTCTGTCCCCTGCAGTTGGTTCACTGCATAGCTTGTGGGGGGAAAAAACCCCAAAACACAATTGAACTGCCATTGCCCAATTTCCCCCATTTATAGAGAGTGAAAGATGACGCTTTGACCAAAGATGCATATAATAAAGTTCCTTAGGAGTGGGCAAAATGTTATAATTCTGAACTGCCTGACAAATGTGATTCCTTCTTTGTGTGCAGTCATGCTGTTTAATTGTGTACAAAAAGCTTTTCCATTTTGAAAATTCATAGCCTTCTTGTCATATTGTCTAAATGCTCACAGCAGCTCTAGATGTCACTGCAAGCTCCTGATGCTCCACACCTTTGAATATTGTATTTTTGGGGAGTGGGATAAAATATAAAAAAGTGGTAAAAAGTGAAGTGCTTGATATGCCTTGTGAGCAGATTTGTGCGTGTGCGCTGAGGCTGTGTGCATGGAAATATTTATAACTGTACTAAAGCACAACTACGACCAGATATGTCAAAAATCTGTCAAAGTATGAGCTTTTAAGGTCAGCATATGAATAGCAGCCAGTGTCAGACACATATCCAGTCGCTTGGTTATTGTTTATTGTTTTCGGCAGAGTAGGGTAGACCCGAGAGAGATAGATGAGGCTTTGTGTGCACCCTAGGATAGGCATGATGGGCACTTCACACTGAGTGGGACACATCCTGCTCTTGTTTGCACCAATCTAAACTCCAAGTAATGCTGTGGGAATCAAAGTTCTCTCTGTACTTCCCCCTGGGTAAGTTTCAGTAGCACTTGGCCTTTAGGATTTAGAAATGGGAAATTCCCCATAGAATTAAAAATTAATCTGATGGGGTCAGTGAGGGATAAAGACAGAACAGCAAGCAAAGGTTTAAAAAAGGTCAGTTTTGTAGCCACAGCTGCACTTTTCTGAAGTTACAGTCACACGGCTGAGTCAACGTAATGCTTCCCAACAGTAGCGGGGAAATCTGAGGCCCCTCTCTCTCCATCAGGGTTTGTTTGTGCCTTTCTGTCCCTCTCCCCTTTTCCCTGGATCTCTCATCTCGGTGTTTGGTTTGTGTTTGGTTTCTAGCTGCTGAAGTTCGTTCCTGAGAAGAGTGATACCGACCTGTTGGAGGAGCATAAACACGAAATTGAGCGCATGGCCCGGGCGGATCGTTTCCTCTTTGAAATGAGCAGGTCTGTTTGATACATTATGGGAAAATGCACTGTGGGCTTCTTGGAAGCAGCTGTAATTGTTATTGAAAATGGATCATCTGGCACTGAGGGGGAATGTGCAAGAGATTGTGGGCCAGCATTATACCCTGCATTTGCCAGAAGCCCACAAATGTTACAAATGTTTCCGTTCATTACACAAACTTTTTATTGACCATAAGCACTCTCCGTGCTGTCATTTAAGGACCAGTCCCCTGATGCCAAGCAGAAATCTGCCTCCTCTGCCTAAACTTGTTCACACAATAAGGAATTCAGATCCAACTATCAGATGTAGTGTAGCCAGGGGTCAGGATTTCATATACATCCCTTTTTCCATTCAGCTATCCCATCTCCTCATCCTCTGAACTTCTTTCTTGTTCCAACTTTGCTACACCCCCAATCAGAATTAACATCTTGTTCTCCTAATTGAGATGCAGCTGGCATCTCCTGTGACTCTCATATTTTGAGAGTAATGAGTATTGTCCTAGCTCCTTTTCAGTTGTGATCAAAACATGCCTTGAGGTCCTCCGTTTTCATAACAAGGTTGATTATGTAGTGTGAGACGTTTGAACTATGCCTGTAATCCTATGCACAGGCCTTGTGGGACTCAACAGCCAACCATTAGATTATGTAGGCAGCATCCTGGACCGGGCTTCAACATACAGTTCCAGTTCAGTGTTGGCTTTCCTCTACCCTTCATGCAGGATTGACCACTATCAGCAGCGGCTGCAAGCATTATTCTTTAAGAAGAAGTTCCCAGAGAGGCTGGCAGAAGCAAAGCCAAAAGTGGAAGGTACGGTTACAGCTTTCGCTAAGAGTTGGGTAAAGGGGCAGGAAAGGTCAGGAGAGGCTTTTGTCTTCAAAGGAGGTGCTGTTACATGCAGGCTATGGTTGTAGAGCCAGTAAGTCCCAGGTATGTCATGTGCTAAGAAATAAACTCTGACACTCTTTTTTTGCACCCAGTGACTTAGTAAAGTCAGTTTCATGACTGTTACACTGTAAATATGACCTGACAGATATGACAGTGTACTACTAGGCTGTGCTGAGCTGCCACAGGCATGGCCTTTCTGTGTAGGTCAGCCTTCCCTTCTCACCCCCAAGTCCTTGCACCTTCCCTCTCCATGGGGCAGTTAGAATAGATGCCTCAGGACGGTGGTATTCTGGGAATGTGTAACTTAGAAGGAGGGGGAGTGTATGGCTTCTGTGCCACATGCATGGTTATCGCAGAGAAGAGGTCAGTGGATTCTACTCTGCATTTTCAGATGAGCTCAAGCCTTCCCCCTGTTCTCCCCAGGTATGTTTTTAGAGTGTGAGGTCCAGGAGATTAGCCTTACTCCTGGGTTCAGAGGAGCATCCTACAGGCTAGATGTAATGCATCTTCTTTCCAGTTGTCCTGGTTCTGAGCATGTGGGTGTGGGAAGGACAGTATACACACAGACTGCGTTGCAGCATTTTCTGGGCAACAGTCAGATGGGCATTTTAGGGTACTTCGAATTATGGGCCCAAGCATGTTATAAACAGCCACTGTCCAATAACCTGTTCTTTTTTTTTTTTTTTTCCCCCCCTTTTTTCAAGCCATTCTTCTGGCATCCAAAGAACTCATCCGAAGCAAGCGTTTGAGGCAACTCCTGGAGGTAGTTCTGGCCTTTGGGAATTATATGAACAAGGGCCAAAGGGGAAGTGCGTATGGCTTCAAAGTCTCCAGCCTGAACAAAATTGCAGACACCAAATCCAGCATAGACAGGTACGCTAGAAGGCCATAAATGAGTTAGTTACTGTGCTGCTGCATCTTTTATCATAGTAACGAAAGTGGTTTTTGTTTGGTTTTAGCTCTGTAGACCATTTAAAATAATGTCTCATTTGGCATTTAAGTAGTACTTTTCACTCCAAAAGATCCTCCAGCAGTTAAGACCAGCTATTAACACAGCACTCAAATTCTGCTGTTTCTTTGGATAATGCACATCTGTTGTTGGATTGTGTTTCTGCAACACTATGCAAAGATGACAAAATGTAGTATTTCACAAATAACTGAAATAAGTTGGGGGGAGGGGGGCAGTATTTCTATGGAATTTGCCCTTCATACCAGTTTTGTGGCCATGGTTTTGCAAAAAAGAAAACACAAAAAAATCTGACCACAGTTTTATGTCTCCTGTGAAACATGACATATGTTTCTGATGCAGGACTGTCATTACATTGGCTCTCTACCTACACCAGTAATGGAACCACAAGGCATAGCTCAGAGAGACTGAGCCTGGTTTTACTGAGAGCAGTTAATGAAAATAGCTGGGTTTGGAAAGGTGGAACTTACTGTTTATGGACATGGGCTGCAGGTCTTTATAATGCTACCCCATGTTTTGCCCCACATTCCCATACTGGTTCTGGAAATTAATCCAGCTGGGACTGGGGAGAGAATACCACTTTTGGTCTCTAGCAGCACTAAGGTTATCCTTGGAGCTCTCCTATACTGGTTCTTACTAACTTGCACCTTCCTTGACTTGTGAGACCTGCTGAGACCGCAGTTGTGGTGAAGTGACTTCAGGCTGTGACAGAATGAATAATGGCAGTAAGAAGCCATAGGAAATTCATCCCTACCTAATAGAGTTTGAACTAACAGAATTCTGTTTTGACTACCACAATGTCCTTTCCGTATTCCAAGGTTAACACTTGTGTAGCTAGTGTTGAACATTTTTTTGCCTTAATGTAGCTTGGCTTGATTTTCCATATATTAAATGTGCTGTGCAGATTCTGTTCTCCCACCAGTTCCCAGCTCCAGGCTCTACCCTATGTGAAGCAGTGGCCATCTGCTGTCTTGCCTGTCAGTTAACCACATAACACCCACCTCAAGTAGCTGTTATGGCTGGCTGTTCTCTCTACATGCAAAATCCACTAATGCAAAATTCATCATTTACTTCACAAATTTTCTTAAACCTTTTCCTGCATATCTCATACATCTCTTTTCTCTCCAGTCCTACTTGAGCTGCCATTGCTTTTGTAGTAGTGGGCCTGACCACTACTCCCAGGTATAGCTGTTTCATTACTATAGGAGTTTCCTTTCCAACTTCTTCAGTCTTCAAGAACCTTTTCCTCCTCCTAGGTAACTCTTAGGTTTTTTCCACATTTCCTCTGAGAACAACTTACTTCTCCCTTACGAGTTAATGTCACTTTAGTACTATTAGTTGTTTATTCTCTGAAGTATCTGGGGACAAACTGTATACTGTGTTACACAATTTTCTTTTCTGTTACACCATCTACACAGATGGATGGAAGCATGCTGGTGCTTCCAGAATAAATCAAGGCACAATATATTGCTTGAGGTTTTAGGAAGGATGGTTCATAAGGCTAATTCTTCTCAGTCTGTGATACTTCTATTTCAGTAACAGAGCTGCTAACTGCTGATATATTGTTTGTTTTGTTCATTCAAGGACATTTCCTACTCAAGCATTTTTCACAATCCTCCCACTATCCTTTTCCTTCTCACCACCATCTTCCTTCTAACTTGTCCTTTTCTTTTTTTTTTCTTTTCTTTTTTTTTATTTTAGGAACATTACACTGTTGCACTACTTAATTATGATCTTTGAAAAGAATTATCCAGATATCCTAGATATTCAGTCTGAGTTGCAGCATCTTCCAGAAGCAGCAAAAGTCAAGTAAGTACGGTGCTACTGCTTGTTCCCAGAGCTGGAGTTCCCAGTGATTTCTGTTAACTTAACAGTTAACAGCAGTTTTTTCACTGCTGTCTTCTAAACTCATGGCTAGCCTTTCAGCTAAAATGCCTTTGCTCACATCCTTGGTGTTATTCAGATGTACACCAACAGAGAATTTTGGTCCAAAAACATTTGTAGATAATGAAATTGACAGCTTTACTCAGATATGCCTATACCTCTTTATTTCTGAATCAGATATTGTAACTAGATTGGTTGTTGTTTGTAATTCACTCACCAGATTCTATGGTTGTTCATCTAAGTTGCGTGCTATTTTTTCTGGGTAATTAAAGATTTGTTCCTAAGGCAGAGTCAATTAGGAACAGAGGCTATGGTAAGCCCTTTTCAGGAAGATTGTTCAAATTTTTGCACAAATCAGTCTTGCACAGAAACGTGGAGAGCATCATACTTTCTGCACGGATTTTAATGATTTTTTTTTCCATTTCTGTAGGTGTTTGTGGAAAATGAATACACAATCCATCCCCCAAAATACTAGCATTTTTTCTTTCCAAAGCACAGCTCAGAAAGCCTTTCCATATTATTTGCCCAGCAATGATTCTTTGTATAGGTAACTACTCCAGCTAATGAAAGACAAGTAAAGAAACAAATGTAGGTTCACACTGAAAGGCATTTATTAAGGCTTTAGTGGTGTTTTCAAGATGTAAACTACTGTTCACCAAATACTTGGAGGAGATGCTTGGTGACTTGTAAACAGGTACTAACTAGTTACTTGGAAATGAAAAGTCATTTTGTCATACAAGTCCTAGAAAAAAACCTCTTGTTTGTATATGGTGAGCAGAAATTCAGTACAACACTTGTGTCTAGGGAAGCACATATTAACAGTAGGGTTATATGCTCAGTTACAACATAAGCTTGCAAGGACTACCAGATGGTAGGAATGCAGATGGAAAGAACAATGTTTGGACTGTGAGGAAGACAGAAATCACATGTAAATGTACTGCTAATGGCATTTAGTAGTTAAGTGGTTCAAGAATCGTATGTAGAGATAATCTGAGAATACAGTAATGTGTGTGCTAAAGCTAGGGTCCTTGCTTATGTGTCAGCTGATTATTGCAAGCTGGCCCTGTGGCATATGCTCCTCGCTGGAGGGTCAGGCTCAGCTCACAGGGCAGATGTTCTGAGGGCAACCCCCCTCTTCTTCCCAGGAAAATCCCCATCTTCAATTCGACTACAGGCGAGCAGGGTCTACTTCATCTTACATCTCATACAAAAAGCAGCACAGAGCATTAACAGACCACTTCCCCTCGTTTCTAATCATCTGCCATGGCTGGTGCCAGAGGCTGGATACCAGACTTGATGGGCCAATGGTCTGCTCTGCTGCAAGAGTTCCTGTATTCCTGTGTAACACTGCTCTTTTTGTTTCATCTGCTCTGTGTCTGTCTCCTGTGCAGCCTGGTAGAGCTGGAGAAGGAAGTCAACAACATAAAGACCGGATTGAAAGCCGTTGAAGCTGTAAGTATCTGAAGGTTTCCAAAAATGCCATACTTAAAATATCTCACTCAGAATCAGGGGCGCTATATATTTTATGATAAGAGAAAGTGGGCTTTCTTTTTCTGTTCCTTTTCATTCTGTTCCAGAATACATTAACCAAGAAAAAACAAATAAAAGCTTCTCATGTGGAGCTCCTGATGATGATCTTAGGAGACTTAAACCTAATGAAAAGCTTGTTTGATCGCAGCCTGGAAAGTAAAAGGACAGTTTGACAAATGACATGCACTGAAAGAAGAAATAAAATTCTTTCTCTTTCTTACTGAGGGATGGCTATCTGCTGAGCAAATGTTTCACATGGCTCTCAGAGTAGTAGTAAACATGTAGTGCACTGTTACATGCAACCCTAACCTATCCTAAGCACTCCTTGGCAAGGCAAAGGCAAAGATAGACTAGTTAAAGATGAGGGAGCTGGGCTGGCAAGCGAAGCAACAATGGCATTTTTTCCTGCTATTAATGAAAGCCTTGTAAACTGGACTTATGCTACCTCTGTTCAATTTGTACTTAGGAAGTGCAGAGCCTTCCACCTCAACAGAGAATAGTACAAACAGGGCATTGATGCAGTTGTGTGTACTGATTATAAGAGTTAAAGATGAGGGATGGGCCTAAATGCTCCATGGAATTATAAGTTTGTGTCAGCTGTGGTTCCCCTACCTGGAAGCCTCCTTTAGTTATCATGTGGGATTTGTTCCTGGGGAAAGACTGCAGCCTTCCTGAGGCAGGAGAACACAAACTGGGACACCGTGTTCGGTGGCAGGAGGTAGGAACTCTCATATTTGCCTCTTGCTAATGCCATTGACACGTGAGCAGCCCCATGTGTTTGCCTCCTCTCTATGAAATGGCAGCTACAAATATCGACCTCTCACAGGAGCTGATGTGAGGAACGGCAAGTTTGTGTTTGCAGCAGTTGAAAAAGTAAAGATTAAGGGCTAAAGTCACTCTGTTGTCTCTGTCCACTAACATCTCCCATCATCTGCACATATAGACATATTCTAACCCTAAGAACATCATTCTCTCTTTCTGCAAGTATAGGAACAAAATCCTACATTCAGGTTGGTGCTAGCATCTCTTGCCTGTTGGATATACTAAGGATATACTAGTGCTGAGAGACAAGGCAGAGGTCTTCGGAACTCAAGAAGGTCCCTGCCCTGTTTAGCTATTCTTTGCCCTCTCAAACAGGGTTTAAGAGCCACACTTTTCAGTGGCCCTCTGTCTTCATGATGTTTTACCTGTCTTTTTCAACTCATGTCAGTTTAATGCTAGTGGAGCATTCGGCCCTGGGACTGCTGGCAAGGGGACCAGTTGTTGGGAATTGCATTGGGTGGTTTCTGTGCAAGGAGTACCTATCTACAAGAAACTAACATAGGACTCTCCAGTCCTCATTCACAGTGATGACTTCATTTTCCTTTCACCTGGCCTGAGTTTGGTTTGGTTCTGGGGTAGAGGGAAGGGATCTTTGTCCTGTCAGCGGCCCCCAGGCTGTCTGGCTGTCTCCAGCAGTTCATCATGTAATTAGGCAGTGATCCTCCCGTGATAAAACAAACTTTCCAAACCTCATTTTGGGATTGTTGGGGTAAGGGAGAACGCAGCAATGAGAAGACATACTGCTGCGTACATGGAGTGCAGTGTCTGGGAATTAAAAGCACCTGTACAGGGAAAGCTGACATGGAGTTCATGATATGAAGAGAGGCCCAGTTTTGGCTGGGACAGACAATTTGCCCCATTGAAATGTGAATACCTGCTTCTATTTTGCTTTCTGTGATTGGGTTATTTGTCCTTTTGCCTTTACAGCCAATTTTTCTTCTCTTTCCCATACACACGTTCCATGGGCAACCCCTCCTTCCCATTCAGTCACCATCTTCCCTCCTCAGTTTTCTCCCTGCCATGGTATTTTTCATATGGGGCTGCCAGCACCTCCCAGTCTGTTTGCCCAATTTGTGGTTTTCTGGCGTGTAAAAAGCAGCACTGTAGCAACAATAGAAGATCACTGTCAGGTGGAAGGGGGAGGAGGGGAAGGTGTGATTCTTGATTCCATTCCAGTGTGTTCTCACCACAGCCTTGGCTCCCGTGACTGAGAAGTTTCTTCAAGGCCCCTTAAGAACAGAAAGCTAAAAATAGTTTCACGGTCAGATGTTCTTAAAGGTACTACTAACCCTTTGCCTTCCTGGACTTGCAGCTTCTTTGTAAAAATAAGACATATTTCTTTGTCATGACATGCATGCAGCTGTTGCCTTTGTGTAGGATGTTCCCAGGACAGCTAAGTGGTTCTTGGTCTTCTCCAAATCAGGAATTGAATTCTGTCAGCAGAGCCCTTCTGTCACACAGCAAAGAGATTATAACTACCGCTTGAGAAACCACTGCCATGGCTGAATCATTTCAGCTCTCTAGAGAACCAGCAGCGCAGCCCACCAGAGGCAGTGCTAGCTTCTGCTGTTGTGCTGTTATGACTAGTACAGACCATTTCTAGAAGATACAGAGGAGTTTCTTATTCTCTGGCATCACTCTTGGTCTGATTACATAGTCATGCCGGTTACTTGTGTGGGGTTTTTTATTTTGGAAGAATTATTCTACAGGGAAGGACTGAATTTGAAATTAAAAGGAAGACCACCTAATCTTAATGTTACTTTGAAAAACATTGCTCTCCAGTAACAGTCCCAAATGCCATAGCTTTCAACAGTGAACAAGATGACAGAACTGTCTGGTGGGTTGACCCTGGCTGGACACCAGGTGCCCACCAAAGCTGCTTTATCACTCCCTTCCTCAGCTGGGCAGGGGAGAGAAAATGTTAAAAAAGGCTCATGAGTCGAGATAAGGACAGGGAGATCACTCAGCAGTTATCATCATGGGCAAAACAGACTTGAGTTGCGGACATTAATTTAATTTATTACCAATCAAATCAGAGTAGAGCAATGAAAAATAAAACCAAATCTTAAAACACCTTCCCCCCACCCCTCGCTTCTTCCCGGGCTCAACTTCCCTCCTGAATTCTCTACCTTCCCCTGCCAGCGGTGCATGGGGATGGGGAATGGGGGTTGTGATCAGTTTATCACACAGTGTCTCTGCTGCTCCTTCCTCCTCACAGGGGGAGGACTCCTCACACTCTTCCCTTGCTCCAG